ACTGAGATCTCCTCGCCTCGGAAAAGTTTCATGGTCTGGAAAATCATGTCTTGAACTGTTTTTTGTTAGGACAAAGTTTATTCACATTAGCCAAAAAGAAACGCAATCCTTCCAGACAAACTGCCAGAAGTCTCCAGCACAGATTTGCACACAGGACCTGCATAATAATCAGATTTAGACCGAAATTTTTCGTGATAACTTACGGATTTTGTCGACACGGCGTTGTCCACTATGGCAAAGCATGTTTCCATAGCAGTTTTGTCCAAGCCTCGTTTTCGCCTTTCGTGTGGGTCGTAGAAAACTAGGCAAGAAAGGGGAACGCCATTTAGAACAGAAGAGTTTTGCAGATGCTCGAGAGTGTCGTCACTGTGAGGGATACCATTAGATTGGATAAGACAAGAATTAGATGACTTCTCATTCTAGAAGACTTCAAATATACAACTGGCATACACGGCTCCGCTCGGCTAAAATGTTGGGCTTGAATTTCCTATCCGTAAAATAAGCAAAATTTCTCAAAATTTCTTCAAATCGTATACCTTGTCAACACGCTGTTAAAAATCTGCTATAGTATCAGGACATAGGAGGCGATGCTAAGCATTCTGATATGTTGCACTTTCAGGATTTCTTTAAAGCAAAAGAACGCTTCTGATGAAACCTGATATGATACTTACTTTGTGGAATGAGTTGTCCGATTACAGTTATCGTCTTCTTCCAAGATCTCCTGACTAGTATTTAGCCCATCACAACCCTAAAGAATGGATGGTGAATGATCCCGATTCTTTAGATTTTGAGGTCATCTCCACATCTCATATGTAGCCGTCATATGAAGATTATTCGTCACATCACTTTCATACCCAGAGTAGTGTAACAGAAGCTAACAATTACCTCCATATTGAACAGATCTATTTCAAGCACAGAAACAGCAAATTCCATCAAGGTGTGGTTGGATCCGCCGCGCCTAAAAAGTGCTACAGCATAAATAAATGAAGTGCAGAGCCTCTATGATTTTTTCAGTCCCAAAATCAGTTTTTGAAATTGGAGCGACTCCGCAAGTCACAAACATTGCGCGTGGAAGGTGATTCAAAGAGTAGAGGAAACTTGGGGCAATGCTTAGTGCCGGCTATGTAATAGAGTTTGATGTTAAAAATAAAAGAAGCTCTCTTACGTGAATGTGTCCAAGATCATCTTCCTTAATCCAGCTGTTCTGGACAAGATGTTGTTCCATTCTAGTAGAGAACCTCGACGAGGGCCTGATGAAGAATCGTCAGTGGAAGGTGTGTCGGTGAGCACCTAAAAAACTGTCGGATTCAACGCAAGAAATCTACGTATTCAGGTTTGCCTGCATACTACTGCATACTTTAAAGTCTATCAAATCGATTTTACTGCAAACGCAGTCATGACTTTGCAACAATTTTCCAGCACGTGATAAGGAAATCGTCCGAACTTCGGATAGTGAACTATACCAAATGTTTTGTAACCGCACCTGTAACCAATAAAAGCGCCCTTCTTCGTTGCACGCGGGAAATTGATAAAGAAAGAACATCTGCAAACGATAGGCAGCGTTTGCAGCGTCAAAATTCTGCCCAAACTCTGGCTGAAAATAGAAATATATTCGCAGCTTGTATCAGACGAATCAGCAGAACCTTTGCGATATCATGAAGAAGTCTTGATAAGATGTTTGGAGTAGGCAAAAGTGGTGGATGCAATGAATTGCGCAACGATGTAACTACTTCATGACAGATGAAGTCGTGAATAAACGAGGATGGGACGTTGTTCTTCATCTCAACCATGATCGCGTCGAAGAACTGCCGCAAACTGTCAGAAAACGTACCACATTCCTAAATTTTACTGGGTAACAACTAATAACTGGGTCAATACAGGGTCACTTCTCCCGAATGAGTGAAGATACTCCAATACAGAAAGTTCAAAAAAATGGTAGGTTTTGAAAGACAAATTATCGGCTCTTTAAAACCCAAGACAGCATTGAAGAGGATGATAGATACTTGAGATGAGAATCTAAATCCTATCTGTTTTCGCAGACTCTTTAAAAATGACTTCCGGTCTGAGGGGCTCTTTCTTGCAAAGTGTCCGACACTTGCGCTAATGACAAAGCCTTTCTTGAACTCATGCCCCTTATGGTACCACTTTAGATAGAACTTTTCCGACATTCTTCTTTCAAGCTCGTTAAAA